GAAGGAGCATGCTCCCAGATGCGTTTTCCCGGCCCCGAAAAATGCATCTAGACGAGCGGTGGATTCTCAAGGCAGCTCCTAGAAGGAGCACGCTCCCACATGCGTTTTCCCGGCTCCGAAAAATGCATCTGGACAAGCAGGGGATTTTCAAGGCATCTCCTAGAAGGAGTATGCTCCCAGATGCGTTTTGCCGGCCCCGAAAAATGCATCTAGACGAGCGGCGGGTTCTCAAGGCAGCTCCTAGAAGGAGCATGCTCCCAGATGCGTTTTCCCGGCTCCGAAAAGGTTCTCAAGGCAGCTCCTAGAAGGAGCGTGCTCCCAGATGCGTTTTCCCGGCTCCGAAAAATGCATTTGGCCAAGCGGTGGGTGCTCAAGGCAGCTCCTAGCAGGAGCATGTTCCCAGATGCGTTTTCCCGGCTCCGAAAAATGCATTTGGCCAAGCGGTGGGTTCTCGAGGCAGCTCCTAGAAGCAGCATGCTCCCAGATGCGTTTTCCCGGCCCCGAAAAATGCATCTAGACGAGCGGTGGATTCTCAAGGCAGCTCCTAGAAGGAGCATGCTCCCAGATGCGTTTTCCCGGCCCCGAAAAATGCATCTAGACGAGCGGTGGATTCTCAAGGCAGCTCCTAGAAGGAGCATGCTCCCAGATGCGTTTTCCCGGCTCCGAAAAATGCATCTGGACAAGCAGGGGATTTTCAAGGCATCTCCTAGAAGGAGTATGCTCCCAGATGCGTTTTGCCGGCCCCGAAAAATGCATCTACACGTCATGCTCCTTCCGTTCCTATGCTCGTTTCCGGAGTTGGCCCCGGACCATGGTTTTCGGCAAGAAAGAAAGCTGGTGGTGGTGGTAGTGGTAGTGGTAGTGGTAACACGCCCGGAAACAAGACAGATGCGTTTTTTGGGCCCGGCAAAACGCATCTACACGTCCTGCTCCTTCCGTTCCTATGCTCGTTTCCGGAGTTGGCCCCAGACCATGGTTTTCGGCAAGAATGAAAGCTAGATGCGTTTTTTCGGCCCGGCAAAAGGCATTTAGACCTCGTGCTGTTTTCGTGCTGGCAGTCGTGTAGTAGTAGTAGTAGTAGTAGTAGTAGTAGTAGTAGTAGTAGTAGTAGTAGTAGTAGTGGTAGTAGTAGTAGTAGTACTGGTGGTGGTGGTGGTGGTGGTGGTAGTGGTAGTAGTAGTAGTAGTAGCAGTAGTAGTAGTAGTAGTGGTGGTGGTGGTAGTAGTAGTGGTCGTAGCAGTGGTAGTAGTAGTGGTAGTAGTAGTAGTAGTCGTAGTGGCAGTAGTAGTAATAGTAGTAGTAGTGGTAGTAGTAGTAGTAGTAGCAGTAGTAGTAGTAGTAGCAGTAGCAGCAGTAGTAGCAGTAGTAGTAGTAGTAGTAGTAGTTGTTGTTCTAATAGTATTAGTAGCTCTCCCGGAAACACGCCAGATGCGTTTTTTGGGCCCGGCAAAACGCATCTACATGTCCTGCTCCTTCCGTTCCTATGCTCGTTTCCGGAGTTGGCCCCGGACCATGGTTTTCGGCAAGAATGAAAGCTAGATGCGTTTTTGCGGCCCGGCAAAACGCATCTGGACCTCGTGCTGTTTTCGTGCTGGCAGTCGTGTAGCGGAAGTAGTAGTAGTAGTAGTAGTAGTAGTAGTAGTAGTAGTAGTAGTAGTAGTAGTAGTAGTAGTAGTAGTAGTAGTAGTAGTAGTAAAGTAAAAGTAGTAGTAGTAGTAGTAGTAAAGTAAAAGTAGTAGTAGTAGTAAAGTAAAAGTAGTAGAAGTAGCAGCAGCAACAGTAGTAGTAGTCCAGTAGTAGTAGCGTTTTTTCGGCCAGGCGAAACGCATTTAGACCCCGTGCTGTTTTCGCGCTGGCAGTCGTATAGCGGTAGTAGTGGTAGTAGTGGTAGCAGTGGTCGTAAGGGTAATGGTGGCTGTAGTAGTAGTAGGACTGATAGTAGCAGTTGTCGTAGCATTTGTTGTAGTAGTGGTCGTAGCAGTGGTAGTAGTAGTGGTAGTAGTAGTAGTAGTAGTAGTAGTAGTACAAGAAGTAGCAGTAGTAGTAGTACAAGAAGTAGTAGTAGTAGTAGTAGTAGTAGTAGTAGCAGTAGTAGTCATAGTATTAGTAGCTCGCCCGGAAACACGCGAGATGCGTTTTTTGGGCCCGGCAAAACGCATCTACACGTCCTGCTCCTTCCGTTCCTTTGCTCGTTTCCGGAGTTGGCCCCGGACCATGGTTTTCGGCAAGAATGAAAGCTAGATGCGTTTTTTCGGCTCGGCAAAACGCATTTAGACCTTGTGCTGTTTTCGTGCTGGCAGTCGTGTAGTAGTAGTAATAGTAGTAGTAGTAGTAGTAGTAGTAGTAGTAGTAGTAGTAGTGGTAGTAGTAGTAGTAGGAGTGGTAGTAGTAGTAGTAGTACTGGTGGTGGTGGTGGTGGTGGTGTTGGTAGTAGTAGTAGTAGTAGTAGTAGTAGTAGTAGTAGTAGTAGTAGTAGTAGTAGTAGTAGTTGCAGAAGTAGTACTAGAAGTGGCAGGCGTAGTCGCTATAGTAGTCTAGTAGTACTAGTAGTAGTAATAGAAGTACTAGCAGTAGAAGAAGGAGGAGCAGGGCCCCGCCACTCAGGCCCACGCGGTGGACAACGACGGGTGACGCATGCGTTTTCCGGACCCGAATAAATGCATCTGTGCGTTTTGGCTGAAACCGAACCGATTCGATTCGATACCGATAGCGATTCGAAACCGGTCGCGAAAGGGGGCCGGCCATCTTCACTGGCCGCTTCCCTTATTTTAGGCTTGGCGACTTCTCCACTTGGTTTGGAACAACGTGGCCACTGTCCCAAACTGCGCTGTTGGGTCTGCCAAGAACTTGGGGGTACTCAACACAGGGAGCCTCTTTTGAGGACGCTTGTTCGGGATGACAAAAGAACACACCAGTTCGTTGAGACACCACTATTTGCCCCTCGTTGGTATCTGGACAAGTTATGGCGACTCATGGTTTGTCATTTGCTGAGCTGTGTTGTCCTCGTTTGTGCTTAGATGGGCTTGGCCGTGGCTGGTGGCTTTGAACCCTGCTTTTCTGGACGAACAGTTGCTTGGTCACAAGGGCACCTTTCATGTATCATCCAGTATGATCCTGGGTGCATGAAGTAAATCCTTGAAGGAAGCTCTGGCAAATGGATGAGTTGTTTGCAACAACGAAACTGCCCGAAAGCCCAGCTACCTGTCCATCCGCAGGCTATGTATGAGGGCAGCATGCTTAAAGGAGATTCAAACAAAACGCCACACAGAGACTCCACAGGACCCCCTCCCCCCCCGAGTTGGGATGCTTTCCGAGGCTTGAGAACCTTTGGTTTTTGGATCTTGCTGGGCAATATGAGACCCGCATATTGTCCGTGATAGTGATGGGCGGGCTCCTTCAGGCAATGTTGCTTTTCCAAATTGGGGACTCCTCCCTTCTCTTTCAAGCACGGGCTCCGCGAGATGCGTTCGCGGAATTCCCATGCCTTACCTAGAAGAGCAACTTGCCCAATCTTGAACTGTCAAAAGTGGTTGGACATGATTTCCCTTTGAATTCCGAGTCCAGCGCAGCTGTTGATCCTTAAAAGTTCCTACCCTGCTTTCACATGGCACCCGACAGAAAGTGTGAGGGAAATGGTCTTCCAAATAATCTTCCAGGTACCCTCCCATAGATTCATAGACGCAATCTAATTCTGAGGTGCTGGCGATGGTTGCGACGTCCATTTCGTACCACCTGAGAAACTATGGGAAACCGTTGTTGCTTGGTATTTACGTTGGGGAATCGAATCAGAAATCAGAGTTTTGTAGGTGGTGCGTTTTATGGATTTCGTCCACAGTAGGCTAACGTACCCATCTGACGGCTGCACGGGCGCCGGAAGGCCAGAGACGCCGGCCTACCCTTCGCCATTCAAAGAGTCTGGCACCCGGCTGAGCGGACTCCCGTGAAAAGGTGACGTGGGATAGCCCACTGCGTTGCCCTGGATCTGTGAAGTAAAAGCAGGGCTCAAAAGGCCATGCGAATTGAGGCGTTAAAACATGTTGGTGACCCTTGCTGTGCTTGGCTTTTTGCATGGCTCCTTCATACCAACAAGGAAGGCACGCCCTGCCATGATCCATCAAGCGAAGGGTGAGAATACGTCCCCTCACATTGGGAACTTGCTGTTCCGCAGATGGATGAACACAACTTGTGAAGCACACTGTGTCTTGCTTGGCCACGTGCATGTGTGAAATGCATGGTTGTTGGGAAACATTGAAACATGTTTGCTTATTGTGGTTCAGTGGGAAATCCCCTTCCAACGTCAACCAGGGTTGGTCGTGTAGATCTCCAAGGCCGCCGCTTCAACATAGACATGAACCCCCTCTGAAAAGTTGTTCCCATGTAGGCATACTTCGTATGTGTCCATGCAAATTGAAAGCTGGCTGCGTAGGGGGAAACAAAGAAGAAAACAAACAAGGGCCCAACTTGGGGGGGGAGAAAAAAGGCCGTGAGGTGGTGGATCAAAGCCTTGAAGTGGGCCACCTAGGCGGTGGGCGCTCGCAGACAACACGGATGTGACCCCACTGAACATTCTTTGTGGGACCCGTTCACATCCGTTCACGGTTGCTCTTCCCCAACCAAAGCCAAGCAAAAACCGGGCGGACAGCAGGGTGCTTGTCAGAATCAAGGACTGTTGCCGCGCTTCAGCTGCAATGCTTTTAAAGAGAACGTAACCCATAGGCCACATTAGCTTGTACAGCTGGCGATCCAGGGGTGCTGTATCGTGAAATCTGGTAATCTAGGCACACCCGGTGACTCAGGGAGCCACGACGTCACTGCGTTGCCTGTGACGTGGTAAGCCTAAGCCTCATAGGCCTTGAGGGACGGTTCTCTTGGAAATGGTTCGGATGCGGCTTTTGTGCAGCTGATGCACCAGAGGGAAGTGGAATCCGCTACCAGGCGCACCCCAACAAGTCTTGCAGGTTCCAGGGGTGTCGGGGAGGGGGGGGGCCTACAGGTTGGGCCACCTTTCAGGCAAATGGACAATGGCAACAGGCAGTGTCCATGCAAGGTCTGCGAACACTGCACACAAGGCGGACCCTACCCCTCCCAGCAAACATTTTTTCGTTTCGAGTAGTTGTCCTTTTCTTGGTCGTGTGAAGGGGGGCCTAAAATGACCATGTTAAAGATATGCCAAGACTGGAAGGCCAAAGACTTGCATTGCCAGAGGGAAATCAATTGAATCCACCCATGATCATTGTCACTATGTTTAGGTGTGATTATGGTGAACCAATACAAATTTGGTTGTTCAAACTTACTCCGTTGTCATTGTGACAAACAGTAGCGGTTTCCATGATTTCATTCCCGGTGCCAAATTGTATGATTATCAATGCAAGAGAAATCGATGGGAATGCATAATTATCCACCAAAAAATGTTGACCCCAGAGAAATAAACTCATCCTATGCAAGGGGTGTTCATCAAAAGGGATGCACCCCCACAAGGGGACGGTCCCATGACAAGTTAAGGCAGATGCCACCTGTCATACAGCCCAGCCGGTCGAGGCAGCCCCCGCCACCCCCCATGCCGCCGGATTGGAGCGAGCGGCTTTGGGAGGAGCTGTGTTGAGAGCGGCCTATGAAAACATTGGATGCGTAAACCGTCTTAGTAGAACCAAGTGGCAATGGTTTTCTCTGCTGCTCATAGAGAGGGCGAACAGAACTTTGGATAAGCCGTCTTGGCAGGTCCTTCTTCTTTGCGCTGCTCAGAGAGGCCTGTATAAACATTGGCTAAACCATTGTGGCAGGTCCAAATGGCAATGTTTCCTCCCTGCGCTGCTCATAGAGAGGCTTATATTGGCATTTGACAGGCCATTTGGTAGAACCAAATGGTAATGTATTTTTCGGCGCTGCTTATATTATTGAGGCGTATAGTCATTTGAATTAGTAGAACCAAATGGCACTGCTTATTTTTGTGGAACCTTTACATTTTTCCTGGCACCGGGGTTGCATGCAAGGGGTGTGCTTTGGATCTCAGACAGTTTTTATCCGCAGATCATTACATGTTGCAGCTTGTGGAGCTACGTCGGTCAGAAGGCTGGACTACATTTGGGTTGGCCGCTGTTACCAATGATTTTTGTCATCTTGAATCTTTGCCTGACACAGCAACTCGCTCGACAACCGTGCATGTCCGCTTGTTCATACGTGAGTGTCACATTGTTTTGCTTACCTCCAGGGGCGTGGTTGTAGAATCTGGTTGTCTTCCCCTTTTGTGGCTCCCCTATGTGAATTGGCCACAGGGCCAATGAGTTTGGGGAGCTATGCATGCGCTGTCCGCGCTGGACTGACCCTTGGCTGCAAAGCTGGCGAGAGCGCAAGAAAAAATGGCAACACGTTGATTTTGGCTGCCCAACTAGGTCACACACACACAACATGCCTTCCTTCTACTAGTGAAACGGTCCTCCAGCCGTTTTAGGGGTCACAAGAGCTTATCTCTGTCAGCTCCACCAATTTCCCAGTTGAAACAAGAAAGAAGAGGAGTTTGGACAATCAAACTCCCTTAGCCAGTTGCATCCTGTAAGTTTGTCTGACCAAGGAAAAGGGTACTTTGTGCTCCGCGCGCCCACTTGGCAATGGTATCCCCGTTCCTGCAATGTCAGTTGCACGTTGCATCACGTTGGTTGCGCCCACATCTCTTTTGTGTTTGTTTGTTCCCCTTGGACACTACCTGGTAGTTGGAGGAGTTTGGGTCCCCAGAAAAAAGAAGATTACTTTCCTTCGAGTGATCCTCACCTTTGAAAAATGCAAGCAAATCACCGGCACGCAAACTCTTTTGTTAAGGTCAGGTGCGGGTTTCGTGGCAGGCAGAGCACGTTCGCAAGCAAGGTCTGGTACAGATTTCTTGGCAGGCGCGGCACTGTCGCAAGGTCAGGTGTAGACTTCGTGGCAGGCGCAGCACTGCACAAGGTCCAATACAGATTTCACGTCTGATAGCTGACAGGCAGAAAAATACAGAGATGGATGGATGGATGGATGGATGGATGGATTCGGTTGAGTAGCGAGATAGATAGAGAGATAGAGAGAGAGAGACAGATAGATAGGTAGATAGATAGATCGACAGATAAGAAACAAGATCGATAGATAAGTCTAGAGGCCCGTCACCTGAGAGGTGGAGAAAAAGAAAGCGCGCAGTGCCTGCCGAAGATTCTGCGCCACGGCTGCGCCAATATTGAGCCCACGCGTCAACAGACGCGGACCTGCCGAGGGTGCACGTTTGCCTGGTGCTCTTTGAGGCAAACGCCTTTTTTTTAATCTCCGGAGTGGATCTTTCCACGCATCCGAAATGCATCTAACACAAAAAAAATCCTTCATTGGGTCCAGGTCCCAAGCATTAAGCTTCTCGGGCACCTTTCTTGGGGATGAAGTCATCCCAAGAGTGCTTGCCAGGAACCCATGGGTTGTCAGCCGTCTTAAAACATGGTGTTGAGGTCTCAAACTGCCCGCCATCATTGCACTGAAGCCATCATCGGCATATCGGTTCCCGGCGGCCCGGAACCCTTGGTGCTCCAAGCCAGAAACTTGATACGCACGCAAATATAAATCGACACAGAGATAGATACACAGATAGACAAATAAATAGATAGGTAAAGAGAGATGGGCAGACAGAAGGTAGGTGGATAGATAAACAGACAGATAGATAGATAGACAGACAGAGACAGAGGTAGATAAGTAGATAGAGAGACAAATAGATAGATAGGTAGAGAGCGAGAGGTAGATAGAGAGATGGATAGATAGAAGGCAGATAGATAGCGGCAAATAGACAGATTCACCGATAGTAGATAGAACGGTAGAGAAATAGGGAGACATTGATAGATAGACATATAGATGGAGAGAGAAATATTGACACATAGGCAGCCAGATAGATAGAAAGAAATCAGATAGATAGGGATGTGGTTATTTTTTAATAGTCAGACAAATAGATAGATGAATGGCTCGATAGATAGATAGATAGAGGGACAGATAGATAGAAGGTAGACAGATAGATAGCTAGACAGATAGACAGATGCATAGATAGATAGCGAGATAGATAGATAGATAGCGAGATGGATAGATAGATAGATGCAGAGAGTGAGATTATGTAGGCCCTTCAAAAAAGTCTGGCTTTTCTAAAAGTCTGGCCCTTCGAAAAGTCCAGCGCAGCACACAACGCAGCCAACCCCGCGAAGAGTCCAGCGCAGCACACTCCGCAGCCAGCCCCGCGAAAAGTCCAGCGCAGCACCCGCCGCAGCCAGCCCCGGTGTAGGAGGAGGAGGAGGAGGAATTTGGAGGAAGGCGATGCTGAGATGAGATCAAGAGACCCTTACCTGAGAGGTAGGGAAAGATTGCCTTTGGACCACGCATGGCGGCTTTGCGGCTTCTGGCTTTTGGCAGCTGCTGGCTTTTGCGGGGAGGACAAGAAGCGTGAGCTGGCGGAGGAGCGGTCGCGGCGAGCGCCCAAACCACAGCCGCAGGCGGATCGGATTTGTTGCCCTTTTCTGGAACAAGGTCTGCTTATGCCGCTTCCGGGTTCTTCAGCGGTTTGAAAGAAAACCAGCCACGCACTCGCAGCAGCATCAAGGGTAGGCAATTCTGAGGGCAACAATTTGTGGCACAGTCGTTGGAAAGAGGTTGCTGGACAAACACAACTGGAAACTGAATTAGCTGGGGTCCCTAATTGATCGATGCCAAAAGCACCTGCAATTTCCTTCGAACGGGGCGATGTGTTTGGTTTGGGCTTGTGGGCTCAGCTGCCCAAGGCTGACCTGTTCGGTTTTTGCTTTCACCGATGCTTAGTTGAGGTCCAAACAAGCTAACCTTTAGTTTCCAGGTGGAGGGACATGTCGGGGAGCAGGATTTCTCCTAAAACCTTGCCCTGGAGGCACCACATGCCTGAACCGGCTGGAAAGGGAAATCAAGGGACCTGTTCAAGCTGAGGGATCCGTTCCGGAGCCGACTTGGAGCTGCCGATCGGAGTTCTTGGTGGGGATATACTGTTGACCCCATACTTGCCAACTCCAGCTTATCAGTAAGGGGGTGTTCCCCTCCAAACTTGAGATTCCCCATTAAACCGAGGGACACCCCTGCAGTTAATAAACTGGGTTGTTCCCCATTAAACCGAGGGACACTTTTTTTTTATAAGAAAACCAGGGTTGAACATCTGGAGTCAACATTCGCTTGAAGAACCTGCCAGCTCGCGACTCGAGCTTCGGAAACCGCAGGCAGAGCGGCAGCCAGACTTTGTGCAGCCCGAGCCGCCGCCTGCTCCTCCCCGAGAGGCGGGATGCGCCAAGTTGGGGGGGGGCCCAAGGCCACGGGTGGCTTTTGCGGTGGTCCTGCACCCCAAGCATCGGAAAATAGGGGAACCTCGAAGACAGCCCCGCATGACCGTGAATTTGACCTCTTAAGGTTCACTATTTTCTTTGGCCTGAATGTTTTTGCACACAGGTTTTTGGTGGAGTAAAATCCGGAGATGGTTTTCCCAGACCTCCACTTTGTTCATTCTTGCTCGGACTGGTTTCTTTTGAAAGTGTAAGTACCAACAAATCGGCGCTCGTCTTTCTCCAATCCCCCCCTGCGGGTCTGGCAAAGGGTGCAAAGATGGATGCAGCCGCTGGCGCAATGTGGGAAGCCTTTCAAAAGGATGCGAGGGGCAGGCTGGACAGCTTAAATCCTCTGCGTCTTCCACTTGCTGAAATGAATATGTTTTATTTTCCCTTGTTGGTTTTAAAGGGAACCCATCACTACTGGACATATGTCTCATTTTTTCAGGGGGCGAAAAAGCAGAAGTTGTAGACAGGACAAACATGGATCGAGTTAATTGAGTTGGAACAGCCAATGCCAAAGCGTACAAGGGGCGCTGCTGCGCTATAGCTCATTGGTTTGGATTGGCGGTTTGAGGTTGAACACCTGAATTGTGGTCCCTATCTTCCCCTTCCGGGCGTATTTTTGACCATCGCCATTTTGAAAGGCCGCTGAAGACTTCCGGTCGCTCGCACGTTTTGGAGCATATGTTTTGGTAGCTTAAACCTCAGCCGTCGGGAAATGTGGCGTCCATCCTGGCGACACCTCGTTCACAAGGCTAGCGGTTTGTGAAAATATGTTTTTTGGCACTCGGCGACCAAGTTTGTTCCAGTCCTAGATGTTTACGCCATTGGAACGAGGAACATGTGTTTCCTAGGTATTGCGAGCAACGCATGCCCAAGCCACACGCAAATGCAATGATGTTCTTCCTTGTACTGCAGATCTTGAATCACAAGCTGAACTTTGAAAAAAGCAAAGTGTTGTGTTTTTTTTCACGGGGCACACAAAAGTTGTCATTATTCGTTCATGAGCCCGAGGGACGATGACACAGCTAGTGACTCCCGTACATATGTTTCAGAGCAAGTATGTGACCATTTTATAAAGAAACCCCTGAGGCACGACCGACTCGCCTAAGCCGAACTCGCCTAGGGGATAGGTTTTCCTTCAACAAATATGTGTGCTATTGAGGGGGTAAGCCTTGAGATTTGTTGAACGGCCAGCCTTCAGTTTTGTCCCGGACCCTTACTTAGCTCATGAGTCAAGCCAGGGCGTGGTTTGTCAAGCCAGGGGCTTCTCCGAACAGTTGGTGTCATTCAATTGCCCTTCGGGACAGATCCTGCAAAACAGCCTCCTTTCGCCCCAATCCCAATCCCGCAACTAATGCACAGAGCGGGGCTGCACATCCAGAACAGGCCACTTTTCATTCTTGCCCTCTTGTCGGTACGGGGAACGCAAGATGCTTTTGTCGGCGGGGATGAAATGCCATCGTGGCCACCACAATTTTCAAGGAGCTTTTCCCGCAGGCCCATACTCCTTTGCTTCTTTGGTGATTTCCAAACACGGAGTAGGCTTCGACAGTATCAAACCTGTCAACAGATCCCCTGGTTGCTCTTCCCGGCTCGTTGGGGGCACTTGGGTCTTGCCTTCAATGAACCCCGGCGAACAGGTCAACTTGATTTTGGGGAGCTAAGCCAGGTCAACTTGAAATGGATGGGCCAGAATTGGGACTTCATGCTGCCAACTTGCAGGATTTAGCTGGCTTGGTGACATGGTGATAGTGAAAAACAGTTTGAAGGTTCATAGAAGGTGTCATCTCCTTTAGTTGCCCACCTCTAGCGGGCGTTGTGCCACCTACCTTCACTGGTGTAGTTTGGAGAATGTTACTTTCATGGACCAAACTGCACAACACAACAGGTGTCTTATAAATCCATTTGCTCAAGAACATGTTTATTTCTTCCCCTGTCGGTGTTAGAGGGAATCTATCACTACTGTAATATGTTCTCCTTTTCAGGGGGCCAATAGGACCCAAACGTGGAACGGTTCCATGGAGGGTATGGCGAGGATGTCATATGGGCCTTACAGGGAGGGCCTGGCCAAAGCAGCGCCCCAAATCTTCCGGAGGACTCGTTGCCGGCCTGGCGCCCGTGGCGCTGCCCAATCTTCCCCTGGACAAAGAATCCGGAGGACCAATGGATGGGCGTTTTTTGTTTGTGGGGGCAAGACGAGCTCACTTGGGGAGTCCTTATGTCAGGTTTTGAAAATATTTTGTTTATATTGTCTCGGGTTTCGACAAGAAAGGAACAGTCGGCGCCATATTGTGTTCATAGATGTTGGGTTTCTGATTGTTCATTACGTCCCACTATGTTTGCACTGTTGTTTGCTTTTGCCTTTTTACATGTCCTGGTCCCTCGCTCCAGGGGAATTCAACAGAGGAAAGAGCTTGTCTGAACTTTTCGGAGGCACCTGAAGCTGAAGGTGAGGTACAACATGTGAGCCTTTTGTTCACCGGTCAGTCCGAAAAGCGCGTGCAATATGTTGGCGCTCAGGTCAGGATCTGGGGAACTTTGAAGCATTTGGCAGGCAAAGGCCGAGCCAAAACCCCGCGCCCTTCTGAAGGTAAGCCATTGTAGATCCGATCTGTGGGCAGGGAGCTTGGATACTGGGCATTTACCCTGGCCATGGTGAGCCGTTTACTCACCACTTACTATGTACTCTCCCTTCAATTAACCCCCTGATGGATTTTTGGAAGATGCCCCATTGAGGGGAACTCCGTGGCTTATCCACCATCCAAGAGATGACCAAGCCATGGACAACTCACGAGAACCAAAGTGCACTTTGAAATGAAATGAAACAAAGATAACTTTGACTTTTAGTGTGAAATTTGGACTGGGGATACTTGACCGCCCTGCGGTGGACACATAAGGATCCAGGTCCAGCCCAGCAACCAGAATCGAACACGTCCCCCCCTTCAAGTTCACCAACATGCTCCCACCTCTTTTATGGCTTGCCATAGTGGAGTTTGCTTAAATTTGACGCTCCCTTTGGACTCTTGCCAGGGATCCCAGTCTTCACTTGCTCTTCTGGCTTTATATAGATGAGTTCCAGGACTCGAGGCTTTCTGCGAAGACCAGCTTGGCTCAGGAGCGGCCCCCGGCGCCGGGCCCGGCGCATGGATTCTGCGCCCCGGGCGCGCCCCCGCGCGCGCCCGCGGCGCCTTCGGCGCCTGGCGCCGGCCTTTCCGGCGCTCGGGCCATGCCGCGGGCGGCTGGCGCGGCAGGGCCTGGCAAAGGCGCCGATGGGGTCGTAGCGGAGTTGCCAAACTCCGAAGAAGTCGGGTGGCAGCATGTTTTTATCCAGATGGGTTGGCTCACTTATTAACTTATGCTGCCATTTCAGGGCTCATTCACCGCTTGTGCTTGAAAGATGTCAACATAGTGCTTGCCAAAGGAAAGGTGTTGGCAACCAAGGTCATTCCGCGACGGGCCTTGTGAGGGCAGTCGTAGTTCCAGTATTTTTTTCCTGGCCTGTGTGGCATTAGGCTACTCAAAGGGGCCAGACTCGGATCCAAAAATCCAAGCCCGCCTGATGTAAGCGTAGTAATATGATTTCCATGTAGGGCCTTGGATCTTTGAACCTCCGTATTTGCAGTTTGCGGAATATCAGGGTCAGAATGTTCCCTGCCGCCCGGAACCTGCTCTGCTTCGATTCGGAATCTGGGGTTGGCCGTTGGATGGGGTCCGAACGTGTGGCTTCCCTTTGGCGAACAGAGTTCCCGCAGAACAGACGTAGCCTCTTGGATTTGTGGTTTCTTGCTTGCCGGAATATTCTTTTGAACACGAGCCCCAAGAATTCAGGCCCAATGTTTCTGTCTGGACCTTGAGTTCCTACCAACTGGTGGTTTGGATTCGTGGCTTGGGGATTTGAATAACCCTTGGGGTTCGTAGGGGGTAAATACAAACCGGGAAGGTCGCTTCAAGGAGAAGACATGTCCCTTGCACGCACTTCTGATCAGTTTCCATGTGCGGATGGCAAGCAGGCTCCACACACATATATATATATATATGCCATGCTCAAGCAACTGGTTGTGGGGCCTCTTGAAGTCGAACTCCTTGCAGTCATTGCAGGCAGGACTGTGAGAATCAGCTTGGAAATATCGTCTTTGGCAAGGCCTTCCATACAGGTTTCAACCAACTGATTGCCGCTACTGGCCCGCATGTGTTTTGAAGACGGTCTGCCCACTGCCCAGAAAAGGGTTTCCCGTTGTCCGTGGGGCCACCGGCCGCAGTCAATGCTCTTGGGTAAGTTTTGTTGAATAGGTGTCATATGGCATTGGTTTCAGATTGGTTTCAGCTTTCACCGGTGATTTGTTCCGATGCCTCACTGAGTTCATGGACTTTCAACTTTTTGGGGGGACCATTTTCGTGGCACACAGAAACCTGGAGTCTCCATGAATCTCCATGACCCTTTAAAAAAGGGTCCATGACCCCATTATTTTGAGTAATGACCCCATTTTTAAAGGGTGGAGACTCCAGGAAGTTTGGTTACTTAGTGGGCCATGAAGTGAGCAGCCTTTAGGCCCAGGGCCGCCGCCGGACGCCAAAAGCCCCGTGGGCCACAGCTGGAATTGGGGCTCCGGCATCTTCGCGGGCCGCTCGCCAGAAGGTTTTCTGGATCGGTGGAAGTCCCGAGTTGGGATGGGTGAAATCCTCTAGCGGTTTGGGAAAGGATCCCTCTTTTGACAAATGAAGGAACTTCAAAATCATCATGGACCGCTTTAGGAAAGGATGACTGGATTGTTCATATTCCTGGGGGAACGGTAGGGGACTCAAAAAGCGATGCCCCTCTGAACACGAAGTGCGACCATTGTGCGTGCGATCATGTAGTTTTCTTGCTCAAGTGTCTTTTGGCAGGTTGGACATCGTTGCCACAACAATTACTGTACTATCAAATTGCGGTTGGCTTTCACATGCAGGCAGGCGTGCGAACGCGCACGCGCGCACACACACACACACACACACTTCAACTCCCAAGGGAGGGTGCTAATCATTCGAGTACAACTGATGAGTCTCGAGTACAACTGATAAGTCTCGAGTACGATAAGTTTCGGCTCGCAATGCACTTGGCTTCCCTGTAGCTACTTTAACAGGGACACACGGAAGCAACGGCGGTTCAGGGAGGGGACCAAAAGGACATTCACAAACATCACAATTGCAGGTACGTCCAGCTGATCAGGCTGGATATCACGAGTTAACAGCGAGCGCCTTCGTTGGCGCAGGACTCGCTGAAACTCCCTGCGCCCCCTGCTGAAGAAAAAAGTTTTGGTGGCAGGGTATTCTGCCACTCCGCACACACACACGCCCCTCAAAGAGGGGCGAGAACCACTTTTTCGGGGGGGAAACACGCGCCCCAAAACCGGGCGCGAAGACCCCAACAGAAAACAAACAGAGCCGGAAAACAAAGGAAACAGAAAGGCCCCACGTTGGGTCTCCGCGGGCAAAACCAAACCAAGAAACACGAAAAACAGGGGAACCCGAGTTTAGGGTCACCGCCGAGGGCAAAGAACCCCCAAACAGCCTAGAAACCCTCCTAAACCTGGTAGAAGAAGAGCACCGCGAAGTTGAAGAACGACACCACGAACACGCCATCCCTAAACGGGCGAAGAGGAACAACAGGAAGTAGTTGGAAAAG